CNCATGTTTTGGGCTGATTTTCTAAAATCACAGAGACTATATTTCAAAATACAGAACATAATGATCTATACAGCATCGCTGTGAAGGTGCATACTACTCTCGGGTGCTGCTCTATAAATGCTATGCCCTGATATATAGCAAAGTTTCTTTAATTACACTATATAATAAAATGAGATTATGAAGAACCGCTTAAAAGAGGCATGAGACAATGGACTGAACACAAAAGATTTTTTAGTAAAGATGAAGTTTCCAAATAAATTTTACAATTAAGTTTGTACTGACAAGGAAGGCACAATCACCATCCAGAAGTTAAACAAACGTTTCTTGATTCTCTTCATTTTCACATTCACTGCAATAACTGATATCTGACACCTTTCCAGAGGATGCATTAATATTCAGCTGAATGCTGATACTTTCGCTGTCGTCTAAATCTTCACTCTTAAAGGTAGACCCAATGCTCTCCTAAAAATACAGTATTAGAATATTTACACAAACTTTAGTAATGAGAATTAAAATTATTAGGGCTAAGATGAGCTTGGTGCGCATGTAATGTCTATAAAGAGATAAAGACGAACGAAAAAATGATAACATTTAAAACACATGCCATTAAGAGATCGAACATACGGGGTTTCACGGTTAATACACATTTATGTAGATATATAACTCAAGGTAAATAATAAATTATTTTCTCTGTGATATACTTCCTGAGAAAGAATGAATTAAATATCTATTATCTACATTTCTTGTAACTACTTTCAGGTAGTGATAAGCACAACTGACTGTATACATGTCAAAACTGTTGTTACATCCAGTTAAAGTTCTATTAAATCTAAACTGCTTAGGATCGCAAATTGTGAATTAGGTATAATAGAGATACATATTGTTTTTAGCCGTGCAAGCTTATAATGTTTTAAGCTTCCAATTACAAAAAATTAACGATTTCGTCTCATAGCCTAAACGCTTCTGAGTTCATTTAAATACATGATAGATGAATTGTTAAAAATCCTCGCAATTCTTAACCAGTCTGTACGGTGAGGTATATAAAACTGTATCAATACATGTTATTAGTTTAAGGTAGCACGCCACTCAATAGGACTTATTTAAATGCTCATCAAACAAGAAATTATAAAGGTTCGAATTTATAGTTAATTCTTAAGTAAGTTTAGTAGTCGATCATTAAAAGGATTGTAAAGCGCTAAGTTCCAGCAATCTCTATAGTATAGGTATTCTATTTCGCAGGCAACCACTTGCGAATTGAGAATAATTAGCCAGAGCAACTCAGTACTTTTATACATGTTTTCTATTACCTCAGTACCTCACTTCCTTGGTTGAATTTTTATAAAAAACTACATCTTGTTGAGCAACTTCAGAAATAAAGTACGGTATGATAGTACTAAGCATATCGTTCAAGGCAATTAAATTATTTTCTAGATACCGTTTCTTCTTCGCAGTACGATTCTTCCAGCACGAAATCGTCAGTAGGAGAAGCTTCATGAGTCGCTTCTTTAAACTGAACAGGAATTAAAATTCCGCTAGAGTTGAGCCAATCTGGTAAGCTACGGCTACGAATCAGCTTTGCTCTGATAGGTCTGATAAATAAACTACCATCACGCACTCCTTCGCGTTGGGGAAGCCATATGTGTGAACAATCTACATTGCCTTGTCGGCAATTATCTGCGATTTAATATTAGAAGAAAATAAATTTAGGATGACTTATGTTGTACCAGCGATCAATTGATCCGCATGGCAGGAATATTGCAATTTATGGACAGAACATAAACGTAAATTTACAGACAGTAGTTAAGCTCAGTTAAGTCCTATTCTCGATTTACAGTGCGTTCACAAAGTAAAACAATATCGCAATATGCAAAAA